TTTTGTATTTCCATAAGTGGAGTAAAACTATGGAATAATTTAAGTGTGGACATAAAAAATAGTAATAGAATTGATGAGTTTAAACATAAATATAAAAGGTATGTGTCAATCAAGATATATGCAAGAACAGGCTTAATGATTAATTAGATGGAACATTGTGGGTGTGGTGTAAGAATGTTAACACTATGTAATAATTCTTTAGTATATTACTTGTGTGGTGTAGAAGGGAATTATTTATGTAGAGATACTGCTTGCAAACCAATGATGGTAAGATGATGTCATGGGATAGGACTGGATAAGTCTAACTTCTTCCTACTCCATTCAAGCATGTACTAGGTATAAGCAAATTGATGTTGGATTAGCATTTGTTGGATATGTGTAAAATTATGTGTGTTGACATATCAACTGCCTTTACATGCTTGAAGGAATAAATCAAATCAAATCAAATCAACCATAGCTCTATAATGTTAAACAGCCAAATTACAGACAGGTAGAAGAGCTTTTTCTCTACCTGTCTGAAAACTTGCTTTAATCTATATTTTAAAGGTAGAGTTGGCGATCCTATAAAAACCAGCAAGAGGAAGCTCGACTTTGAAAGTAGACAACCAAAGAAATCCCACCCTTTTGTTCCGACTTCTCTCCAAAGCCACTCCACTCCTCCAAAACACGACGTGCACTGCAATGTGCACTGCCCTACTATTACTTACAGGTTTCAGGAAAATAACAAATGGCCCCCAAACAAAACAAATGATAATTACCTGTCCAGCACAAACACAGCCACCATGGTGTCACTTTTCAGCCCCTTTTGTTCTCTCAGTTGTCACCATCATTCAGAAGCCACATCAATGTTAATTCTGGTTTTACTTTTTGCAGCATCCAACTTCATTTTAGTTGTAACTTTCTCACCCAGCGTTACCCACCCAGATCTGTAGTGAACCACAGTTGGAGACCTCTGATCCAGCGCTAAACTGCTTTAACCCTGGCTTGTAGCGGCACCTAGCCTTAGAAGTCTGTACTTTTCTACAGGCAGAAGTGAAGAGGGCGGCCAGTTAACGCCGTTCAAAACACAGCTTTATTCTGTCTTGGTAACACAAACACTGCACGAGGCCTTGATGCCCAGTTAACTGCATTACAATCCTATCTATACACTTAGAGCCGACTACTGGCTGGCTGCATGTAAAACACATCTGTTCTATGTGGTGGTCTTCTCACTTTCATACTGTGCACACTGCACGTAAGTAGCAACGTCTAGCAACAACATTACCCATAAGGCTGTATGTTTCAAAGGGGACGGCCTGGCCTGTAACAACAGTCTCTGTTTGTGAATGAAAGCTGATGTGGGGACCTTCTCGGCCATAGCTCTCTAAGTTTAGCTGTACAACAGAGCAGTAACATGTCTGCCTGCAATGCCTTGTAAGAGACTCTTGACTTGTGCAGTAACATGTCTGCCTGCAATGCTTTGTGGGAGACTCTTGACTTGTACAAGGAGTGTTTGTGTGCAAATAAGAAGTTATTTGACAGGCAGTTAGGCCATCCAATGGTTTTGTTTTGGATGAGTAAAATTACAGGGCAGGCATTTTTAGCCCTGCTGCTGCAACAGATGATGGACTTTTTTCATTTATGTTGTCAGTGTATTTAATGTATTCATTGCCATCGGGATGAAAATAAATAAATGGAACAAAAAAACAAAAATACTTCTGAAAGGAATCACCAACCCTACCTTTAACAATAATTTAAAAGTGCACTGAAAGCCAGAGCTAAACGTTGTGTCAGCTTTACAGCTGGGGCGTGTTCTTTGTACGTTGCTCAACATACTGTATGTATATATTTTTTTTTACATAATGGAATTAGAGAGAAAACCGCTACTTACAGAGTTACGAACAGTTTCAGACCACTCAGGTGCAACAGCGACAACAGGATTTTCCTCCAGATATTCCCTCAGGTCTTGCAGCATTGGACAAAAAGCAGCTCCAACCTGCAGAGAACAGACATTTGGATGTTATCTGTTAGTAAGAGAGAATACACAGCCACTAAGTGCAGTCCAGAGAGCTGTGTCTAATTGGGTGTCCTGCTTACAATCTATTGATGCACAGTACTGGGAGAGAAAATGCATTCTCACAATGTTGCTGTTGAAACCCCAGGAAGTTACTGTTCAGAACTGGATTTGTATGCAGTGCACAAGCCTGATTTGCATACCCCCCTTTTTAGACCATATTTGATATACAGGAGTCAACGTTGGCAGTTAACATGCATAATTTAAAGATAAGTGCTATCTCACACAGCTACACATGGACTGAAACTGAGAAAGTCTGCTTACTTATTCATCGAGTCATCTTGAGTGTGACAGTAAAACAAACATAACTTTTTAACTTAAAATAACCCTTCTTAGCACATTTTAACAACTCAATTTCAACAAAGTAGACATTTTATACGTCATGCAGCCTGCACTGAACCATTTACAAGTAACCTCTGCATGTATGCAGAGGTTACTTGTAGTGCATACACAACATTTAGTACGTTTAAACTACCCTACTGGATATAATATATGCCAAGTGTACTACATCAGTGCAAACACACAGTGGAGATGACTGCAGTGTAAACAGGCAGAGCATCCCTCCTGAAAAACTGTAAACATCATTTCATGCTGATATCCTCAGGAGTTCAGTCATTTTGGGTTGTTTTATTATCCCATGGCTGCATGCTAATACATCTCACTGATGACGTCGCTCGAAAACTCACCTATTGTACCCATTATGTCTCACCTTCTTTCCGGTCCTCATATTAATGACCTTGACCTTCTCACTGCCTGTCAGGGCTTTATCTGCCCTCCTCCTCCTCTTTCTCTTGCTCCTGTTCACAAGAAGCTAAAACAAGTGATATGACAACACAGAAACAAGACAGTTTAGTCGGTGACATTTTTTTCTCCCTGAGACCAATGTTTGATTATAACTAGGGCAAATATCCTATTCCATCAGTGTTAAGAATTTACCTCCAGCATGTCTCCCTCCACCTCATAATCTGGGTTTTCGTTTAGCCATGTGGGAGGGTCCCTGCGTCGAGGAGTACGCTCCAGTGGATCATGGAGTCCATCTGGGTCAGATAACTGCACAAGAGGCAGATAAACATTATTAAACTAAAAATAAATCTATTTTGTTTTTGAATCCCACTCTGTCCATTTCACAGAGGCATACATGTAAACCTGACACATGTACCTCTTGGTCCTTGTGTCTCTTGCGACCACTGCTCTCTCCCCCTGACCCATTGGGCATCAGGGCCTGCTTAGAGAAGGTCAGCTTCAAACCTTCCTCCTGGCATGGTGAGACAGAAAAGCCTCTAATTTAGTCATGAACTATACCCCTTTAATAAATTGATTAAAAAAAAAAAATTCCCAAAAAGCTTGCACTGAACTATAAAAATCCCTCAGATTACATGATCCTGACAAAATCAGTGTCAATTCTGCGTATATTATTTCATCCTCTATATTCTTACCCTTAGGAGTTTGACAGTGAATTCTCCATCCTCCCCCTCTGCCCCAGGACCACCAGGCATGCTGCTGGGTTTGCGGATGATTCTTGTATAGGCCATCTTGTCTCCTGCCAGTTCTGAGCTTGGGTTTAGCTGAGCCTCAGACACGTAGCGTCGCCCGGAAGGCCAGTGACCAGTAAGCACAAGTGTACACAAACTGTCCAGACGGTTGATCAACACACGGTCCTGAAACACCAAAAAGCCCCACAGCAAGAAAATACATGTGGTTTCTTCTATGAAGGAAATGCTTTGATATTTGAATGAAGTTAAAACATACATAGATGTGTGAGGATACACTTAGCTCACGAGACAAGACAATATTGGGTTCAGGAGAATGAGACAATATTTTAACACAATTTTTAAGATGCCTTCAATGACAAAATATGATTCTATAATAATTCTTTTATTTGACTGAAGGTCACAAAATGCCAAACAGAGCAGGTGCATTTTGAAATATTTTAACTAATCATCTTGTAATGACTGTCACTTCAGTTCAACTTGCCGAATAGAATTATCATATGCAACAAAAGACAACAATATGCCACCACTGTAAAAGGTTTGGCCACAAATTCTGCTGACCGGCTTCTCTCCTGTCTTCACACAAGTCTCTTCAGACCGTATGACTGTGCATGAGCTTCTAACGTCTGTCTGAAGCTGTGTGTCACCTTCTATGCTATTTTCAACCATACTGCACTGGACATTGACATCATCTGGCCAAGGGGCTGCTTTCAACAATCACACAGGGGGGATGATCAGGATGTGGATGCCCACGGGAAGAAGACTTCTTTTTACCCCGTTATCACGAGCATTCACTGCTATTCACCGTCAAATTTGGGCCACAATTAATGCACCATGACACGTCATTATGCATTTTCGTTAGTACTTGATATTAAACAGTGTTTTCTTATCAGTGCCGAAACACTGATGGTAGAATTGGTGCTAAGGTACAGTAGACTATGTTAGAAGCATGGCTAACCAAAACACAACAGAAACTCATGGGCTGGAAACGTGAATGAAGCCACTCACTTTGACTTGTCACAACGCTGCCATATCGTACACGCCTACAAACACTCCTACTGCAACCCCTCATCCCCCAACCACTGCAGACCCATGCCTTAAAACACAGCAGGGAGTTGCGTTTGAGCCGGAATAATGTGGCCTTATGTCACACTCCATCATACTGGGTGCTGCTCCAGCTCTGTTATGTACTGATATCACAAGACAGTTTTTGCATCGATGAGAAATGTCATCAGTTTTTAATACTGTGAGATCTCATGTCACCACACCCCTAAACACACTTATCGTAAACCGTGGATTAACTACCTTAGGCCAGTCGACTCTGAGAGGGTCAGGGGGTGGAAGGCCATCTTGAGATGGAGTCATCGAGAGTAAACTATTATCTTCATCCACGTCACACACCTTCATGCCTGCTAAGAACAAAAGGGGAAATTAATTAAATGTGTCATTTTATTTGTGGGGCATTCTACATTTTTCCCTGCATCTACCAAGTTACCTCTTTCCACCTCTTCCTCACTCTCTCCACTTTCATCACTGCTGCCGGATCGTTCAGAAGATGATGAACCGGAATCAGAATCTGAATCTGAATCAGACCCTCCTTCTCCCTTCCTTCCTGCTCCTGTTCTTCCTCCCCTGTCCCTGTTCCTCTTGAAGTTCCAACCCTGCACTTTTCCATCACGGTGAGTCAAAGGCGTACTCTGCAGTTCAGCACTGACTTGACCTCCGAAAAATCGAGCGTCGTTATCAGCTCCCTCCTCTTTCACACCAGGTATGTCCTCCTCAGACTTTGCTTGAATGAAGGGCATGATGGGTGGTGCTTGAGGTGGAGGTGGCGGTGGAGGAGGTGGAGCCTGTTGGTTCTGGATGAACTCTTCACGAGCCTGACTGAAGGTGAACTGTGGGTCTGAGAAAATGGAGAGCTCTGTGCGGCTGACACCATGCAAAGCGGCGCCCAGCATAAGCTGACGATCATGCTCTGGTATATTCCACCAAGCGGGCAGTTCAGAGCTGGGCGGGGCCAGCGGTAGATGCTCTTCCAGGGAGGGGTGTGGCAGGACTCGCTCACGGAGGCGACGGAGGAGGCTAATGCGGTAAAGAGTACGAGAAGCACGCTCCTCAGTGATGGGAGCCACAGTCTGCGAATGCTCTGATGGATCTGAGTGAGACAAAGAATATTTACCATATACAATTGATTAAAATTCAATACTGTTGAAGTATAATGTGCATAAATATTGGCATCTCCAGTCAGAATATATGGCTTACGGTAAGTGAGTGAACAGTTACAGACTTGAGCCTATATGATGTTGGATAATGTGCATCTATCACTGTAACTGCTGGTAATATAGCGACTTGCATAACTGAGTATCTTGGCAACATATTTAGTATTTACCTTCACCATAGCCTTGGCGAAGGTGGCAAACCCTCCTGCACATGGCAACAAAAGAGCGGAAGTATCGGCTGAGGCTCTCGTCCGTTTTCTTATCCAGACGAGCAAAGGTACGGAAGCGAGTCCAATCAAAATCAGGTTCTCCACCTTCAGGTACACCAGGCTCCTTCTTCATTGTTTCCACACCGAAAGTTGATACCACACGGTAGAAGTCACATTCCTCCCTTCGTGTCCACCTAGAATAAGGACAGAGGGCAAATGGGTGAGGTGGGGCTGATCTGAGTTTGGGACTGGGATGCAAAATGGGTGTCCTGAAAAATGATATTTTTGTTTTTCACTCCGGTTTCTCTCACTCAACCTATCTTCTTCACTTTGCACTGTGTGGGTGTGTATAAAGCATGGATAAGCCATGCGCTTGGTAGGAACACAAGAGAACAGCAATCACGGTACAGGACAGCAAAATACATATAACTGAGAAAAGGCAATGAAAGTGAGACGTTAACAGTACATTCTGTCTTTAAAGTCATCAGAACCGTTTGTCTGTCTGTCAGCGGGACAACAGCCAGACAAGGAGCCTTCACACCATGCCAATCTAGAACACAAGTACATTGGACAAGAATATTTTTTATGTAAGGTCATCTGAAAGAAATCACAATTTTTATATAGGCTATGGATTACATTCTATTAATTTTCCCTGGCTCTTTACAGAGAGTGAAAGTGAAACTCAAGCTGCCTGATCAGTTGTAATAGATACCAATCAAAAACAGAAAACAGGATTTGTGTGATTTAAACAGCTGACTGTGGAAATGATGCTTCACTAAATGTGGCAGAGGGAAAAAAATAGACATGAAGCATAAAAAAAAGTATCATTAAAAAAACATGAGGGCTCGGCCGGAGACGTGCATCTGAAGGATCCAGTGTGGACTGACATATTTGATATCATGGAATTCCATCTGCAGCGTGAGATGGGTGTTGAAGATGTTTCCAAAAACATGTTCATGTGTTTTCCTAGTAAGATGCATCTGCTTTGTGACTTTTGTTTTGGGGGAGTGGGAGGTTACGTTGGTGGGGTAGCCTGCCAACTGAATAGTAGGGGGAAACACTGACCCTCAATCAAAAAAAAAAATCCAATCATCAGTATTTGGCTTAACCTCAACATCGTATATGCTCAAGTATATATTCTGCAGAGTGTGAGCACAGAGCCTTTGTGGAATGATCTAAGACCAGCGTACCTCTGCTGGCGCTCCTGCCGTGCAATCTCCTTCAGCTTGCTGGCCTGTTCGCAACGCCTGCGCCTGCGGTCGCCCTTTGCCTCTGCTTCAATCTTCAGCTGCTCCTGTCTGTAGCTGCGTTGGTAAGCTGTGATGAGCCGCCGCAACCGCGCTGTAAGTGACGAACTGGAGGGCCAGTCGGTTGCGGCACTCTGGCTTGATAAGCTTTCTGTAACTGCTGGCCCCGCCTTGTCTTCAACAGAAACCTCATCATCCACATTCATAGAGTCAGGCTGGAGGCCAAAGCCCAGATAACAGAGACACATTATTAAATAGTTTACTTCTATTTAGTTCCATAATATTCACAACTGGCTATGAAAATAGACTAGTGCAGACAGAACAACTTGATTGTGTCTCAAAGTCATACCTCCTCAAAAAGTTCCTTATGTCTTGACGCAGGCTTGAACTCTGGGTCCTCTGAGTACTTATCATAGTCAGCACTGCATAACACAAACCACAAAGCACCATCAAGATACAAGAGGGATATGTTTCGTGAAATTTAATTCAGGTCTTTCAGATATGACACATAACAGAAACTTAGTAACTTTACACAAAATGTGTCTAATAGTGTGAACATCATAAGCCTGTAGGGGTGTGACGATAGACTTAGCTCAGAGATGTCGATACTAGGTTCATAAAAACGAGAGACTAAACACTATTTTAACACTATTTTTAAGAAATATTCACAAAATATATGACTTGAAAAATTGTTTCTTATTTGACTAAAGGTGACAAAATGCCAAATACTGCAGGTACATTTTGAAATATTTTAACTAATCATCTTGTAATGAATGTCACTTCAGTTCTACTTGCCAAATAGAATTATCATATGCAGTAAAAGACAACAATATGCCACCACTGTAAAAGGTTTTACCGCAAACTTAGCTGACCGGCTTCTCTCCTGTATGATTTCACACGAGTCTCTTAAGACCCTATAACTGTGCATGATGTTTGTAGCTTCTAATTGAAACTATGTGCCCTCCTATGCTATTTTGACCCTAACTGCACTGGCAAACGCGCTGTCGACAAAGCGGGGTACAATTGGGATGTGGATGCCCACAGAAACAAGACCTTTTTTGTTTTCTCCTGTTATCATGAGCATTCACTGCTATCCACTGTCAAATTTGGGTCACAATTAATGCACCATAATGACACGTCATGCATTTTCGTTAGTACTTGATATTAAACAGTGTTTTCTATCAATGCCGAAACACTGATGATAGAATTGGTGCCAAGGAAGAGTAGGCTACATTAGCAGCATGGCTAACCAAAACATAAGAGAAACTCACGGGCTGGAAATGTGAATGAAGCCACGCACGGCTGTATCATACACGTCTACAACACTCCTACTGCAAACCCCTCTTCCCCTGATCAATGACAAGAATCTCATCATGAATATCATCATGTTTTAATATCATGAGATCTTGTCATACTCCTATAAGCCTGTGATAGATCTATACTATTTGCTCTAAATAAAAGTAGTAGAGGGATACAAAGGAGACCAAAATAAACTCTGACAATGTTAGGGTCACTCACTCGTCTCCCAGCTCGCCATCGCCAGTGTGCTGCTCTGCATCAATGGCCTTGTCATCAGGGCGACCAGCTCTCTCCAGGAAGCAGAGGCAGGGATCAGCACGCATGGTGGTGTACATCTCATAGCCTAACACACACAGTCATTTGAAAAAGAAAGAAAAAAAACAAACACAAAAACCTAGAATCACTGCCTTGTGGTTGTATACCTCCACCACCAGTCAAATTTACAGGAATCAATTCATTCCGGAGACCATGTGGACATTAGTGCCAAATCAGAAGGAATTCCCTTAAAGTGTTACTGAGATAATGTGTTGGCAAATTTGAAGTAAGATAATAGGAAACTATTAAAAGTGTACGTAAGATAACTCAAAAATGTTTTGAACATTTATATTTATAATTTATATTTATATAAAGAAAAGTACCATGTTTGAATACACCAGCAAGCAGTGAGCGGTCCGCTTCAGCATCCCACCATCTTGCTGGTACCTCCTGCTGCTCCATTTCAGGCATCCAGATATCAACATCCCTAAAAAAAAGTGCAAATACTTGGTGGGTTCTAGTATGAAATTGAGAAAGTGAACCTGTGTGTGTGAGTGAACTCCATTTGATTTACATGTATAAGATACCTGATGTCAGCCCCTTTCAGGACTGTTTCAGCATGATCACCAATCACCTCCTGTTTCAGGTAGTAGAGCATACGCACTCTCAGCAACACCCTGAAGTAGGAAAGGAGATGTTTGAACATGGATGAGAATGCATACACATGTAAACACACACAGCAAAACATAGCTGACTGGGTTCTACTGACTTGTTGCACTGATGCTTGAGGTGTTTGCGGTAGCTGTCGTCCAGCAGCAGGGTGTCAGGGTTGTACTTACGGATCCACTCCACCTTCTGAACATCAAATGTGCTTTGCGCCTTTACCCTTTTACCCTTCCTACCTCTTGGAACAGGGATAGACAGTCCTTTATAGACAAAAGAAAACAACCACTGAGGGTTAAAGGCGAATATAAATAAAAATCAATCAAAAGACATTATAAATACTAAAACAATGTTATCCACCCAGTGCTGATGTGAAAAATATTGTGCCTCATCTATGTGCAGCTCCTCACCAGAGTGGTTGAGTAGTGTTTGGGGCTCACGCCCGTTCTCCGGTGGTGTAATGAGCTCCCAAATGAAACTCTTGATGTTCTCATCACCACGGTAGTGGAGCAAGCAAAAGACCAGGATGACACGACAGATTGTCTCCACATCACGTTCACTGAGACGCCGCTTACATCTGGCATGAGACAGAATGTCCCTCCAACGAACCCAACTGGAGAAGAAGAAAAAGAAAAAAATATATAACAGAATTGACCGGAAACAAGGGACAGGAGTAAAAAGTATATTGCACATAATAGATACATACCCATAGACAAGCAGGTGTTTCTCCACCCGGAAACAATCTGTGCGGCCATAGCCCCCTCCGCTGTGGCGCTCTGAGCGTCGGGAGGCACGGGACTGTCTAGAATTAATGGGTGGGTACTCATCATCACTATCTAGATCAGAAAGGTCTCCACCTTCACCACGTAAACTAGAATACTGACGGGTCTGCTTGCGTATTCTGGGAGTGTCGATCACAAGGGTGTTCTGTGGGGGCAGCACAAAATAATTAATTACATATTACTTTAGTAAAATACTATACCTGTATTTCAGTGCCATGGCATTTAACACTGACCTTCACAAAAAAAAAAAAAAAAAAACATCATCAGGTTTACCTTCCTGTTGATCGAGTCCATGTCTATGTCAGCTTTTTTGGCCCACTTCTGCCAGAATTCAGGGTCATCTAGAGCGATGTCATTGCGGCTCTCCGATGCCACAAAGCTGGCTTTGGAGAATGTGGAACCCTTGCCCTCACTTTCTATGGTGATGGTGGTGGCTCTCCGCTGAAGGATCTGGTCTATGTCCTCCTCACAGAACCGGCTGCCCTCATCGTTCTCATCCATGATGGCAGCGTAGGCTCCCTTCCTCAGCAGGTCTTCAATCTCCTTCTTGGAGAACTGCTGGATCTGTTGAATGTGACAGTTACACATACAGCCCTGGGTTAAAGGACCTAATGATTCTGTTAGGGTGATAAAAGAACTTTCATTACAATTCAAACCAAACAAGATGCAATACAACGAGCTGATCTAAAGATAACCTGACAGACTGAGTTAACAGCTGGTAGGCTTTCTTACCCCATTGACATTACTGTCTTTGTTGCCACTCATGCTCTGCAGGACAGCACGGTCAAGGCCAAGTTTCAGACTTGCTTTATCCAACATCTCTCTCTCATAGGAGTTCCTGGTGATCAGACGGTAGACTTTGACCGCCTTAGACTGGCCAATACGGTGACACCGTGCTTGGGCCTGGAATCGGGGGGAAAAAAAGAAAAACAGTTCAGATGAGTGTGATATGCATCTGCTGGCATAAAAACAAACTTTGAAAAGTAAAAACATGAATTAATAAACCTCTAAACAAAGAAATCTTACTTTAATCAAAAGCTGTGTATATCTCTAAATGTGTATTTGTTGTTCTTACAGTGTCACTGAACTGAATTTTATACCTGTAGGTCATTTTGAGGGTTCCAGTCAGAGTCAAATATTACACAGGTGTCAGCAGCAGTGAGGTTAATACCAAGGCCGCCAGCACGGGTACACAGCAGGAAGACAAAGCGGTCTGAGTCAGGCTTGCTAAAGCGATCAATGGCAGCCTGCCTTAAGTTCCCACGCACTCTACCATCAATTCGCTCATAAAGGTATCTATTTAAAAAAAGCAAACACAAAAAGTCCATGTACCACACAGTAAATAAAATTTTTGCTTAAACTTCTTAAACAATTTGATGCACTTGACTACAATCATTATACTGATTACGATTTGAAGGGTTATATTATCATATTAGAATACATCTTAACCATCATACCTCTTGTTGATGAGGTAGTCCTCCAGAATGTCCAAGCAGCGCACCATCTGGGAGAAGATGAGCACTTTGTGGCCACCAGCCTTGAGGCGAGGCAGCAGCTTGTCCAGTAGCACCAGCTTGCCGGCCGAGCGAATCAGGGCCTGCAAATGAAAGTCAGGAGCCAGGGGGTCATACACCTCCCGCAGCTCTGCCACGATCTTCTCCTCTGCACCTGAAAAAGACAGATAGAATTTTATCATTATATCCATTTCTAGGTGTTCACAAGTGAAATGACATCGATCTAATGTGCAGCCTTTAAATATTGTGATGCATATTTACTATTCAAGTTCATCATCAACTTGCGTAAAGTATCACAATTATATTTAGAAGTTCATATAATGCTGCACTGTTTCAAAACAAGAACCATCTACAACATGACATCTGAAAATTTACAGTTTGAGCTTTCAGTCATTCAAAACTTGGTAGGTCAAGGGAATTGCAGTTTTCCTTAGCATTAATTTACACTTCCTGTTTACACAGCAACTAAAGTATGCAATGACTTATGAAGCTGATCTCTCAGCACTATCCAAGGTTTTATGAGGAGCGCTCCCAGGTGAACAGCTTCATTAAGCACCGTTCTTAATACATCCATAAACACACACCTACGTGAGTGACTGAACATGAACGATCATTTACAGAGATCGCTCCTCTGATCTGAAGGACTTGAGAAGATTTTGCAGAGTTAAGAACTCCATAACACTTGATGAGGGCAGCGTTAGCACGACATGCACTGTTGCCTATGTAGTCCATTTCACAGCACTAGAGGGCAAATATTTCAATCAACAGGCATTTAAGTATCACCGAAAACTGCATGGTGATTTGGTCTGGTAGATACTGACTGTATAGGAACCAGTGCCATATTAGCACTGGGCTTCAGTACCCAACTCTATAAAGAACAAGGATACATTCAAATTTATCAACACCGAAGAGTTAACATTATGATGCATTACCATTAATGAGGTAGGGGTGGTTGCAGCACTTGCGCAGCTCCATCATAGTGTTGAGCAGGTTGGGGACATTGCTGTTACTGCTTGCCCCTAAACTGAGGAAACTGAAGTTCCTCTCCAGGATGGCTCGGTAATACTTCTTCTGGACATCTGTTAACTCAACCTGAGAGGAAAAAGATTTTTTAATTTACTAGTAAACTTACAACATAGGGTTTTTGAGACAAATAGCTGGCTTATTCAAAACTTCAAACACAACACAGAATTCGTAGAGAAGTGACACTAAAACTTAAACTAACCTCAATGATGGTCTCCTGTTTGGGTGCCAAATTCTTCTCAACATCCTCCTTAAGCCTTCGTAACATCATTGGTTTCAGGATGGCCTGCAGCTTCTGAACCTAAGGGACCAAAACAAAGCAGTTGCTCAGTGACAGCTGAACATTACCAGTTACATAATATAGGTATCACAGAATGCAACCAAGTAACATGACATCAAGACAAAAGAGAATTAATGGGTAAGTGTATGTGTGTGAATTTCAGAGTTTCACACCTGTTCCTCTGTTTTGAGGTCCCCGAAATCTCTGAGGAATTCGGTCTCAGAGGGGAACTGAGCAGGCTCCAAGAAATGAAGCAGACTGAACAGTTCCTCCACAGTGTTCTGCAGAGGAGTGCCGGTCAACAACACTTTGTGTTCCTGGGAGAAGCCACAGGACACAGGAAAGAAGGTAGAGAAAAAGGGAAGCGGGGGAATGGAGGACCGAGTGAACAACGAACAGAGCGGTAATGATCCAAAAGAAGAGACAATACAAAAGAAACAGGAATGAAAAGGGAGAGGAAGAAGAATTTAACAGATTAGGAAAAGTTCAATTTAAGCATCAAAAAGGCCAGTGATTTTCGATTGGTTAATTTCCAGAAATCCCATATAGAAACTAAAACTAAGGATTCTCCGATATCACTTTTGATCATACTGAGTACGAGTACTTGCATGTGAGTAAATAAAAAGGTGTATGCTCTTACATTAAACTAGCTACTGCCTGTAGCATCAGCCTCTCCTCTCTGCTGAGAACAACAGTCTCTCTACTAGACTGATGCTGCTGTAGAGGAGCTTCTTGGTCTCAGCCTCCAAGAAACTCAACCAATTTTGTTATACAGAGCTCATTAGACTCAACCGTTACCTACATAAAATTCACATGTTCTCTTCTTATTCACAGCCATTCACTACAATCAGCATAACAAGCACTGTATGGGTTTAGTCGGTGAACAGGACCGGGTGAGTTGACCATAGGAAGAGGGAAGATTTACTTCTTGAAGTTTGTGCTGTGCTTGTTCAATGTTTGACAAATTGCTCTGTCCACTGCTAGCGCATTTTGTTATGTGTATTGCTGTCTTGAGTAAATGACCTCGTGTCTGCTGTTTGTGTGTGTGTCTGTGAGTACTCCTCCCTCCCAGTCTCAGACACAGAGAGAAGCAGAAGCCTACAGCTAGTTTTTTGTCATCCTCACTCATCTTAAAATAGCCCCAAACCAGTGAAATGTCATCTTCTCCACATAACCACCTGCTCAACCAGGGTCAGGTTAACATAACTTTGAGTACAAATACTAGAGGGTGGCATCAGAACCAAAACCCAATAATGACTCTTCCTTACTTCAGAGACTATTGACTATGTAATGGCTATGCTTAGCACTTGTTTTTGACAAAAGACATATCTAAAAGGAGGAAGAAACAGGCTAACTGGTGTGTTTTTAATAGTTTTAGGACAGCAATGGAGGTCTTTGGCAAACACACATAAGCAAAACCAGGTTTCACACACATTTTAGTCTCTTTCAAACTGCATGCCTGACCTGAGTACAACATTTAACTAAAAGGATTTTGGAACAGCAGAAATCCTGCACTTTACTCACAAGATCCAGCATCTTCAAACTGTCCAACAGTTTGCAATTGCGATTCTTGAGGCGATGAGCTTCATCAATGATCACACAACGCCAGGAGATCTCCCTCAGCTCAGGGCAGTCAGACAACACCATCTCAAAGGTTGTGATGAGGGCATCAAACTTGTATGCACCTGGGATCAAATGCTCCTACATACAGAATCACAGTTCTCATTTAGATAAGTTTAAAATCAGTAAAGTTAATCATGAAGTATTGCAATCGATAACTCCACCTTCTCATCTTTGCAGTACATCTCATACTGCTGGATCATCTGTCGGCTGGCCAGGCTGCCGTGGTAGACGATGGCGTTCATGTGGGTCCATGTGGAGAACTCTCTCTCCCAGTTTGTGATGGTGGAGAGGGGAGCAATGATCAGGAAGGGGCCCTGGATACCAGCAGCGTACACCTCCGACAGCAGCACAATGGACTGGATGGTCTTGCCCAGACCCATCTCATCTGCCAGGATACAGTTCTGCCTGAGAGACAAGAAACAGTGTGGGCGCAGACTGAAGCCTTGAGAGAAGCAAGTACCTAGCATCATTCCACATGGACTAACTTTCTCTAGAATATAGGGGAGACAATAACAGTTGTTGTTCTACAGAAAAGTTATGTTCTACTACAATCCTATGTCAGAATTTGCTACCGCTACTACTTTAATAGCTGCACAAACCAAATAATGTGTATCCAGTTTGACTGTAGTTTCGGACTGCACTTTGATGCAGGTGACCCTGGAGCGCTGAAGCACCTGACTGTGTGTGACAAATACCTGTTGTACCAGTTGAACAGCAGCCAGTTGACTCCTTCCAGCTGGTACTCTCTGAGTATATTGCCATTCTTGTACTCTCTGGTCTCCTCCAACTTCTTCCATGAACTGGCAGGAGGCCGTGGCTGAGGGGAGAGAGAGGAGGAAACACTGATGAAAACAATAGAAGGCTTGATGATACAAGAAGCATAGCTCTCCCAGTTACATGGTTTCCTGATGTCAGTGGCCAAGTTACTTTTTTTTTGTTTGTTTTGTTGTTCCAGTTAGCTGAACCTTGCATAAAGTCGAACCTTTCACAGCATTTCTAGGTTATGCTGCTAGGTGGATCTCGAGTCGCGCTGGACTCTGGCAGTATTCTTCAAGGTCCAATTCACAATGAATGGCAGCCTATTACATCAGCCTATTACATCATTGATTAAGATTTTGCAATCTTAATCAATGAACTGTCTATGTCCACCTGCATCTTATGGTATTGTTGACATTTTGCTCCTGTTGGACAGTTCACAAAAACAATGACAGGACACACTGTGACAGAGGAGAAGGCACAGATGGATCTGAGAAGAGATGGCATGGTTATACGACATGTTGTTGGCCACATTACATTTTTGTCTTTCCAGTAGAATCCAAGCATTTAACAATGAGACGGAGCAGAACGCCATGACTGATTTCAATTAAAACAGAAGTGGGTACCTGCTATAACACTGTTTATTCCAAAGGTCTTTTCCATCTATATTTATTGTCTTTCTTTACTGAGTTTCCCACTTGAGCCAAGTCTGTATTCTTAGCCTAATGTGCATGAATAATAGTGCATAAACTATTCCTGGCTATCGTTCACTTGACTACTCACTGTTCTCTTCAGGCAAGGTTGTCGGTTTTGAATTTTGCTGAACTCTTCGACCTTGCCCTCGTCCACATCTTCTTTTAGTTCCCAAGTGGCATCTTCATAAGGCAGAGAGCACCACTTCACCAAGTAGTAGATAACGGGCTGGTGACAGTGAAAACAAGTATTTAATCATTGTAAACATGCTACTTCATTATAAAAATAAATAATAAAAAAAAGGTCCCATTTTGAAATATAAAAAAAAGCACAAGACTTCAGCCTACATAGTAAGAGAGGGACAGTGCATCTTATTTGACATGCTATAAAAGTGATTTCTTGCCAAGCCTCATCTCTCACCTCGCCGTTGTCCTTGTCCACACTGTGGGATACATCCAGGATCCTGTCCACCTCCACATAGTCTGGGTTAAAAGGCTCCTCATCCTAAAGAGAGCCACAGGGTGAGAGAGAGTGTAAGTACATATGTACCAACTTAAAGCAGATGTACCACACCCTAAAATAAGCAGCTTCAGCATGCGTTTCCCTCTCACCTCCTGGAAGATGTTCCTCATTTGTGCATGTTTGGTCTTGAACCTCTTGATCTTTTGATGGATCCTCTTATCCTTCTCCAGCTGCTCCAAACTGGCCCACTCACAGTGCAAGTAAGAACTGAGAAGAAGACAGACAAGTTTTACTCATCTGGATGTCTACATAAAAAAGAAAACTGTGCCATGGATGAAGTTATTCAAACAGACAGTGAAACTTACTAGTTCTTGTATTTTACAAAGAATTCCTCAACATTGGTGTACTGGCCTGGAGACACCTTGAAGAGAAAAGCAGATTTTTAGGATTTGTTTTACAGAATAAAAAGACAGATTTTAAGATATTTCATGGACAAAAATGTGCATGTATTAAAACATACTTCTTTCTTGGTTAACCTCATAGACAGCACTTTGTCAACAATGGCAGCATCTTCTTCACTTGGGTTTTCCTGTAAAACCAAAATAATTTTTCCAACAAACACAAACGTTCCAGACTGTATCCACCTCATTTTAAGGAGTTCTCTGTCAGTTTCTCTTGAGAAGAAATAAAAGTTACAATATGTCTACACTCACCACAAAGAACTGCATGCTGGGCAGTCCATCACCATCGAGCTCCATTTCCTGTTTAAACTGCGCTGCTGACCCGCCACTGATGGAGGCCACAGCTGCTGCAGTTGTAGTAACATCTACATCTTCCTGCTCATCCTCATCATCCGTTATCTTGATATCCAGGTCCTCTGTGTATTTCTTCCTCTTTACCACACGATTGGAGCGCCTCTTCTGGTCAGAAAAGGGAGGTGTTAGTTCAAGGTGTTTCCTTGGTTTTGGCCATACACTGATGTGCGACTTATACCCAATCATGAAATCATCTCATGAACACACAGACAGAAGCTGTACAGCTGTGCTACTGATGTGTAACATTTTTGGTATCTCAAACATGATTTCTAACTTTAAGGATGTCCCATGAATTTAATGAACACGCACCAGCCCTCTCATAATGAGGGCCTACAATGACTCTGGATCGGTGCTAATCTAAGATGGGAAATAAGTCCATGCAGCTTTCACACTCTATTTTTTTGTCACTTTTTGATAAAAAAAAAATAACACAAGCTTTCCCGAGTGTGACATGTATGCGTTTGTACCATAATCATGTCATCCTCCAGTGCAGCAGGTGAGGCAGGGCTCAGCTCCCCATCTGAGTGGTCTGAAGACATATTTCTCTTCCTTTTCTTTGCTCCCACTAGAGTGATAGTGCTACAGGAAGGAGGAGGAAAGCCAACGACAGAATCAAGCAGTAGCAGAAGGACTGCAATAAATATTTTTCTACAAGGCTGCATGTCATAGAAATAAGTGACATTCAGATGATTCTCTCCCTCACCTACTCCTCACAGACACACCACTTACTTTGTCTTAGTCTTGCTTTTGCTCTTGTTGCCAGCCCCTGGTACTACTGTGCCTCCGACCACTCCAGCTCCTCCTCCTGGGGTCTTCACTTTGCCCTTCTTGTCAGCCCCTGCTGTGGTTTTGGGCACTGTGCCTCCAGTGACAGGACTTTTCTTCTTGCTGCCTCCACCACTGCTCTTTTTCTTAGCAGCAGACACTACAGTCACTGTGCCTCCCACCTCAGGAGAGGTCTGAGAGGCTGGAAGCTCATCCTGATTCAGGACTCTGGGCAGGTTTTTCTCACCCCGTGCTTTGGCCCGGGCTATAGCTTCAGCCACAATACGGTTTGCTTTCTCTTGCTTGCACAGGATCTCTACTCGCCGGACAGAAGCAGGCTCACCAGGGGCCTTAGTGATGCGGATGGCCTGGGATGGAGTGGTGGTGGTAGTGGAGGGGCCTGTAGTAGATGTGTTGATGACCTTCACCACAGAGACAGTGCCACCTGCCGAGGATGTCGAGCTTGTCTGTGCAAAGGAGATTGTTTAAGAGCACAGAACACTTTTTGAATTTTCTGCTGCATTTATTAGGAAACCTCTAACCCCCCTGGAGGTCTACCTGTGGCTGCAGAAGCATCTTGAGTGGCACTGCAACTCTTTGTCCTCCTTGGCCCTGAGATATCTGTAACACCTGTGGGCTGCTAGTATTTCCTGCTCCTGAAACCAGCTGATACTATGAGAAGCAAAGAAGAGACAGGTCAAGTCACAGGCTCTTTTCAAAATAACCAAACTAATAAATTACAAAAACTAACAAGCCAATGTCAAATTAAAATTAACATAGTAAAGCAGTTACATGAGCAACATCAATTTCATCTTTGTGCTCCAGTTCAGATGTTGGCTCAGGATCTATTTGCCATTGATAGCTTTGAAGTTGTTGAAAGGCATCTTGGCTTCTTCCTTCTATTTCTTTTTTTGTGCTGAGATAAGACTCAACCCATCTCCGTTCTGAATTAACAGAGATTAAAATTAAACTAATGATTTACAGTTATGTAGAACATCATTAGTAGGACATGTAATGAATACAATTAATGTGACTATACTGCCAGATATAAAAAGGACCCCACTGCTAATTTTCAATGTGAAACTGATAAAAGAAGAACACTAGAAAATCTAATATAAAATTTTTAATGCCTTATTAACCTCCAGATTTTTCTAAAGCTTGTCCACTCCACTGCATCAGATATTCACAGGCTCCACTGTACTGACACAAAGTGTTATTCAAAACAATGAAAGTCTTATATCGCTGAGAAAAGAAGCACACTTCAACATTAGCTGCTAATGGATACTAGTTAGCACAGCCAGCATGGAAATGCTTAATTGCCCCGATCTGCTAGGACTACCTAAAACAGTTGTAATTCTTGTGTACTGTAATAGCATATGCAATTTTGAGCTTGCACCTCCAAACCAAGCAGAGCCAACTGCTCTAGGTTAACACAAATATTAGTCACTTAGGGCCACATTTGTTATGGTAGCTGAGTGGCATTTTGCCAGGCACCAAAACACTACAGGCAGTCACATTTTCTGATTTCAAAATCAAATATTTTTAATAAATGACTACTGGGGAATGGTTGAAAACTTGGCTTCAAGCAGACCAACATCAGTGGTAGGTGTATTGGGTAAAACCTTGGCTCCTATTAATATTTTTCATTCTTATAATATTTGTCTATTATTTTGTTCACTTCATTGATATCAGTGAAGCTAGCTCTCTGTATAATGCAACACAATTCAACAGCAGCACAAACTGCCTCTTTATCTACAGGATTTATTGCAGAAATGTTGTATTAGACTGCATTAGGTTAGCAAGCTGTAAATAATAAACTGACAGCTAAGTGTATTTCTCACCTTAACACCTCCTTGTTGGTTCGGCTGCTGCTGGACCTGCAGCTGAATTGTGAGGACTTTGGGCTGCCCACCAGCCTGGCCTGCAGCTCGAGCCTGGGTCAGGGCAGCTAGCTGGCTTCCTTGGAGTACCAGTTTGCCTCCAGGGAGCTGACCCAGCACTAGCCTAGCTGGGACCTGGGACTGCTGTTGTTGGCCCCCTTGGGCTGTCTGAACCTGCTGGACCTGTGTGACCTGCTGCTGGGCTGTGACAGCTTGACCCACTGGTGCAGCGGAACCAGCCTGAGAAGGTTGTTGGAGGACAAGGGTGATCCGCTTTGCTTCACCACCCTATAATCAGATACAGAGAAAGATTCATCATCACAGTCAGGAAAAACACCAACCTAAACATACACCCCGTGAAACTCAGCAACAACCCCTATAGCAAACTATAAAACCACCCGGCCTCACTTTCTGTGATGCACTTGTGAGGTTAATACACTGTGGTCTGTGGTGGCAGAACAGGTGGTGCTTACCTGTGTCTGCATGGCTGGCTGGAGCTGCACTTGGCCCTGAGTCTGGACCTGGATCTGAGTCGCTTGGCCTTGGGGCTGAATTTGGATCTGAGCAGTTTGGCCTTGGGGCTGTACATGGATCTGGGCAGCCTGGGCTTGGACTTGAGTCTGGCCTTGAGCCATCTGTGCTTGGGCTGGGATCTGCACCTGAACTGGCTGGCTTTGTGTTGGCTGTACCTGCTGGGGCATGGAAGTGAGCAGTACTTGTTTTACTGGTCCATTGGGAGACTGCAGCAGCCTCTGCACTCCTGCAGCACCCACCTTAACTTGAGCTTGCCCTGGGGTTGCCTGATTCAAGACTGTCCCCCCCTGCAGTAAGGACATGCCAGGTTTGAGAGGAGTCCCAGACAGCACACGGATGACCTTTCCACCGGTCTGGCCTGCAGCTCCTGATGCAGTTTGCAGAACCTGGGCTTGACCCTGGGGTCCCTTGAGAATGACTATTTTACCACCAGCCTGCTGTGTGATGGCAGCTAACTGCTGGGGAGTGAGCTGGTGAGTTATCTGCGTGAGCTGTGGTGTTGTTGCTGTAGTAGTAGCCGAGGAGCTGGAAACAGTCAGAGGTGAGCTCAGGAGGACAGTGCTACTGGTGGCCACACTGGCATTGCTGGCAAGTGGTATGGTGGTCTGGGCCTGGATCTGAGGTACAGTATCAACAAGGGCCGGGGCTACAGTGGAAGCTGCAGCTATAGAAACAGTCTGAGTGCTCACCACTGGAACCGGCTGCTGTGTGGGGACTTGAATAGGGGCAGGGTCCAGGATGGTGGGGGCTGCTACAGGAATACTTAGGCCTGTGTTGTCCATGAGCTCAGGAGTGGGCTCCGACTCGACTGGTGGCTCCACCTGGCCTAATGCCAGCTTGAGGGCCTCCTCCACAGGGTCTGAGGAGCCCTGAGAGAAGGAGTCATCCTGTAGAGCATCCAGGTTAAACAGGGGTGTGTCCTCAAATATGTCCATGATGGGATCTGCCATCTCGCCCACTCCACACAGGGAGATGGGCGCAATGTTTAAAAGACTCCGAGATGGAAGCTAATTAGTTGTCATCCAGTTCTTCTCAACTTTTAAGTAAACAGCTGGAAAAGGAGGGGAGACACTGATGTCAAGGAAAAACCTTTTCATGACTTTTACATTATTTAACCAAATGCTGTACTGCTTAATATAAATACCCAGCCTGTTCCAGAGGTAAATACAATAACTTAGGTTTAATGGACCCAGTTCAATGGCTATTAGGAGGTTGTTTAATTGTAAAAGAAAAACAATAGCAAGGAACAGACTTGGCAAATATAACCCCCCAAAGGTAACAGTGTAACCTCTGGTCCTCGTTTCCTCCTCAGCTCCTAGTTTGTTTGTTTGTTTGTTTTTTTGCCATTTGTTTGTTTCTTGTTTGCTTATCTACATCACACTATAATTCCTTTATGTTTGGTTCCTCATGCACATAATGAACATGTATAGTTTACTCAATCACAGACACAGCAGCTACCAAAAGCATCTCACCACTAATATATTTAACAGCTATGTAGTTTTTAAAAAGGTTCAAGTTACATATAATGCCCAATAAACTAACAACTGCCACTGGATTGGCAAAAATATTATTCTTGCACTTAACATTCAACTTAACTCATGATCACATTTGCGGAAAAAAGTAACGCATTCAATATGATATTAAAGGTGCTGAAAAAATTTAAATACGACTAAGTAGCTTAAACAGTAATAAAAAAAGCTAAACTACCCAGCAAACATTCAGTTAATATAAACAGTCAGACGAGGAGGGTAGTGATGCTGGAGGGTAGGATGCTTTCCCCTCCGGTCGGATTGCAGTCTTTCTCACAAAACCATTGGCTAGCATTAGCTTGTTACGCGACCGAGATGTACCTATTATGTGCTACCGAAAACATAATGAGGCTCATAAACACGATGTGCCGTATATTTGGAGCCGTTAGTTCTCTTCTATGACGAATACCACCAACCATTCAGTCTACCGGACTCTTTCGATCTCATCAACAAACCGGTCCAAACCAAAGCAACGTGCCACAATAACCATTGCCCGTCAACGTTCAGACATGGGTTAGGCCGCAATATTGTTTCGGTTGGTCTGCGTCTATTTTTCGGCAAAAATACCTGAAAATAACCACCATATCAACTGCCCTAACTCTCCCAGTAATAATTTCGGGGTGCTAAATTTACCTTTGCTTCGACACACATGGCTTTCTCCGTCTCACAACACTGTACGATTACAGGAAACGGCCTGGGAAGAGCAGGAACTAACTTTTTGCCAGAGAAAGCGTAGAAACCATACCCCTCGGATGCTATCAAACGTTGGATTGGTCGTTTTTCTCCCAAGCCGGCAGCATACGTCAATTCTATTAGCTGAACCAGCTGTCTGTCATAAATACTGCCGCTTCTGGGTGGGATGTGAGCCATAGTTAGGTTGAGAAAACAATAAATGCGGCCTAGGTGAGCTCATTTGACTGGGTGATCTTCAACAATGCTGTTTTATGGCCGCTGATGGTCTCGTTAGAAGGCGCAAGCCCTTTTTTTGGAGTGTACTGTTGAGAAACACAGGGTGTTTTGATTATCTCAAGTGGTTAATTAAGTGCAAAGCTGTTTGTGAATGGCACGCTATCTGGTTTTCTATCGTTTTATTACACTGGCCACGACTCAGGAGTCAGCCTACATCAATAAATCAATTGCGATTACTTGTAATATCGCTTTAATACTTTGTAGAAATATACACCCAGACCAAAGACAAATCGACGGTCTGTTGTTAGTTAATACTCTTCTGTGTGATTTGATAGCAGCTTTCTTCCAGTATTAACATAATGATTTACAGTAGCCTATGTGCTCTATTATTGTAATTGGGGGTTTGGCGCCCTCTAGTGCTCTCAGACTGTAGTATGATTGTTAGGCGTTAATGGCTGTTTCATTTGTTAGATTCTTAGGTTTTGTTTTTATTTCAAAAATAGAGTGATTAACCTACATGAGATCAAATGGGAAAATGTGGCCCCCTATTAACCCTTTGTTCTTACCAGTTTTTGTATGGCCCCTAGTTTGCTGTGTGGTAATCTGAGATCAATTTAGGAACATGCAGCAAATTAGCACAACATACGCCAAACTAAGATAATGAAACTCTTAACAGCTAGATTTTGATGCAGGGCCTCAAGATCGGGTAATAAAGCCCACGTAAACGCATATAACATGCAAGGTGATGTTGTGTTTTAGTAGTGAAAATTCCCAAACAAAGTTACAATTAATGACATTACTACAAACCAACTGCTATACAAAGAACCTGAAAAAGGTTGCCTGCTTTCCTCAGTTGGAAATCCAATCTTAATCTTTATCTATTATTTACCATTTCTGTTCTCATCTTAAATGAACTCAAAGACAATTAGAATGAAAAGTTTTATGCAGGCCCTCATACAATATGTTCACTAAGTTGCCTTGCTATTGCTATTTACCATTGAAGTTTCCTCAGTCAGTGCATTAATGTGACACTATGAATCAATGTCATGAGTCTCCATTTTCAGGGATACTTACAGGTTCATCCTAAAATCATAAAAGCATGATGGTACTAATGTGATTGTGTGAGTGTGAGAGACACAGAGAGAACAGGAAGATCGAGAACCAGGGAAGCGTAAGTGACTGCATGTGCTAGCCCTGCAGAGATGAGCCTGTTAGCCAGAGCCTCCATCTGCCTGTGGCCCTGTGAGGAGTATCCGCTATTCACCACACTAACACTCTGCCCCGTGCTGGTTTTCTTGGTCTCCGCCAATGCCAACTCTGCTGGTGAGAGCTATATTTACAAACAGCTGCCATGGCACTGGGTAAAATACCATGAGAGGGAGGAGAAATACTGATTTGTCCAAGCAGATGAAACTGTCACCACCCTAGCATATTGCAGTATCGACACAGTTATCTCTAGCAATGAGTCATAAAATATTGTTGCTCTTAAACGTTTGTAGACAAGAATATTTGACGATGCATGCATTCTTGTATACTTAAAGATATACTCAATCAATTTTGTATGATTTCATTCTAATATTTCTCCTCAATAGAAATTTTTGTGTAAATAAGCATTTGTTGCAGGACACTAGCAGACATAAGGAAGCATCAGCCACACAGCAGAATAAAGGGCAAGTTTGTGAGTTAGAAAGGATGCCATGTGGAGCACAGCAGTGTTTCAAACATTTTGAATGACAAAAAAAGACAAAGGCTTTCACATAGTCTTAGCACAGAAGCCCACATTGCACATGGTCACGATATAATTTTATCACAATTAAAATATCTCTTAAACAAATCAATCAAATATTTAATATTTATACACAGAAACAGAGCAAATTAAATGTACAGATAAAACTTTTTTTCTTTCAGGTGAAAATTATCTTAATTTGCACAATTTTATCTCCATTATTGCATAAAACACATTCTTTCATGCTCTTTATATAGAGTTATAAATTAAATCCTTTATACCCCCCCCCCCCACCTTTTCTTTTTTCTCT